AAAAAGACCTGTTTGTTTTAATTGTCTAACCTATTTTATTTCACATTAATCTAATACAAATACTCTGGATTACAGGTTTTAACGGAAGTACTTAGTTTGAAAGATACAGGTGATGTGAATAATGTCATTGAAAATGATGACAAAAATTAAAATTTTATTCCCATAAATAAATAATGCGACAAAAAACAATCTAGCAGAATGTAATAATGCAAATGCTGGAAATATCGAAAAAGTAAAACGCTCAAAGAAAAACACAAGTGCAAAAAAAAACAGTTTATGTCACCAAATCTTGACGTGTGCCATCCAAAAAAAGAAAGCGTGGTGATCCAATGGTTAATGATGCATATAGAATGATGACACAGGTGTTTCCGGAAAGAAATTAAAAGGATGTATTTAGCGTATTTGGAGAAGAAGTTGATGTTTCATTACGAAATTTGTGTACCGTTTATGCTCAAGCTACAGTGCAACACATGATAAGCCCGATTTTGTTTGAAGAAAAATTATGCAAGTACAACTATTCAGTATCACAACCTTAGACCATAAAAACTGATAGACACGCCTTGTACTGAACCGTTGAAGCAAAGACCTTCCGCGAAAGTGACGTCACAATGAGGCAAGAGCCCGCTTGGATTCTTAGCAAAGCACTAGTATAATCACCCAATTTTAGATTAATTTTAATATAACTTCAATATTTTGTAAAAATATGGAAGATAAATTATTTAGCAAAGTAATTAATAAATATTTTTGCCTTAAATTGTAAAAATAAATGTTTTATTTGAAAGTACATACCTACATATATTATTATATATATCGTTGGTATATTACTTTTTGTTTGATATTCAGAAATAAATTTAAAGGAGAATAATTTTCTTTTGGGTGGAAGTTTCAGGATAGGTAAAAAAATATGTAGGAAATCTATTAATTTGTTGACCACAAAAAAAATAGCTTTTGTTAACTTACTTCTAACTATTATTACATTATTTAGTTTTTCACCTTCGTGGTACAATCTAATGTTGCAATAATAGAAACAAATTATCTTTATTAGATTAAACAAATGGTTTGTTTCAAATTCATGATCAAACATATGTTCTTTGTATGCGTTAAACACAGAACCATGCACGTTACTCATGACATTTAAAATCAATTTTGTCATTATTTTGGAATTTTTTTGAATTGTACATAAATTTAATTTCGCTTTCAGCAATTTTGCAAATATGAATGACGTCTTTAGAAGGTTGAATTAAAAAATCTTTTGACATGCTATAATTTTTGTGTCTTATGAATGGAGATTATAAATTATCACATTCAATTGCACACAAACATATGTTACAATCTAATGTTTTCTTAACTTTCTTAACGACAAACCCAGCGATATAGTCTACAACATCACAAAGATAAGATGACAATGTTCTTGAAAAACTTAAATTATTTACAGTATAATCCTGGTCCTGGTTACTAGTTATTGTCAATATTATTTTCATCAGTTATAAAGTTGTTAATGAGTTGATGATCAACAGTTTATATTTTCACAGTATTTGTTGTGCTCATTGCTAATATTATGGAAGGTGCCTGATCTATACAATTAGCCTGGGTAGATCCTGTAACACTTGTGTGCATAAAGAGTTTTTTATATGCAGCTTTAAATTGTTTTGCCGTTGGGTTGTTGTTGTAACCTCCATGACTTCTAATAGAACTAAAGAAAACTTCTAAGTGATCTTGAGAAAGTTTATAGGCCGAAAGATACTTCAGACCTCCATCCATATCCTCCACGTAATTTTTTCAAATTCCCATTAGTGGTTTCAAACTAATGATCATACCAATAAAACCCGTCTTTCTTTGGCTTCGATATAGGGGTTCACCATTTTTGGAACAGTTAAGTGAACTAAGATATTTTATAGATTCTTCAGTTTTTTGAAAAATTGCTTGTTTATTATGATGCTGTAAACTAGATTTTAGGTGTTTTGCCAATAAATTTCGGCTATTTAAAATATCAAAAATATCATTGATATGTTCAATGAAATTTTGAGTAGCTTCGCTATGTACAAATTCTTTTGAGCTTTTATTTCTCAAATAATGTATTGTCTAACAACTTTTTGGCTGAACGTTTGGGCAGCTAATTTCACTTTCATTTTTTCCTTATACCAATTTAAATGCCTTCGCGTTATCCTAGTTGCAAGATGTAGGCCTTCCTTCTCTTAAATGTCTACTAATTTTTGCAGATATTCCCATTTAATCACTTTATTATTCCCGTCAAAAAAAATTGGTAATAACCTTAAGTATTGCGAATAAGTTTTAACATATGTGGAGGGTCAAACATTACATATATCGGTTGATTTGTTGCTGGATGTAGAAAATATACTTTATTGTATTGTATTGTATTGTTATAGAAAATATACTAAGTATTATTAATTTTTTTTACCGAACGTTTCAGAGAGGAATCTTCATCGATCATCTGTTTTTCTTTAAGATGTTCTAATAAAGATTTTAAGGTATTTACTTTTTTAATAAGCCTTCTATTTCGTTGTTGCAACATTTTGATTTGTTTGTTTTTCTTTTGAATTAATTTGTTTACTACTATCCCTGGTCTCTGTTAGACGATCCTTGTTTAAAGTCACCAAGATAATGTCTTCGCTTTTTTAAGGGATATTCTAAGGTAGTTTCGTCTGAAATTTCTACTGGAGTCTTTATGGTGGTAGATTCACTCGTTATATTTATATTTTCCCTTTTAGATCCTGTTGGTTTGACTGAAACAGTTTCTCTTTTTTTTTGTAAATTTTCTAGGTGTAACCTGCTTAATTAAATGGTTTGGAAAATCGAAAATGATAGGTACAGCATCTCTTTTTAGTTGTTTTTTTGAACTCCAACCGCTAGTAATATACGAATCCGCTGTGAAATGTTTGGAGCAAATTTTAGAACTCTTTGTTGGTTTAAAATTTTCACGGCGCATCGCTATAATCCATTTTTTTGCAATGATGAATCTTTAGGAAATCTAAAACAATTTATTTACTTAATACTTTAGTTTTCAATCTAATTATAAAATGAAAATTATATATAAGGGAGCAAAAAGTAAAATAATAGGTGTTAAATTTCTGGTATTTTTTTTTCAAGTTTAATTTGTGAATTTACTTACCCGTGAAATGATATATCTGTCCCTTTTTTGTCGCTGCTTACAACTAAATGCACTGCAAGATGCCACCATAATTATAATATTATTGTATTGGAAAAATTTTAAATTTAAACACTTTAAAACGTTTACAACGCGTATAAACACTACTAATCTCTACCGTTTCTGCCTCAAACTGACGTCACCCACAGCTGTGTGAATCGTTTTATGTTGGCTTCACTCCTCGAGACGAGAGAATAGCATTACGGCGCGTATATCAGTTTTTATGGTCGGAGATCACAACACCGCAATGTTATCCTCAGTCTCAGCGCAAGCAGTATCCTGTTGGTTCAATAACGACTCTAGTACCGCACCCGTCATCAGATGTTCCCCTTCAGGTTCTTTTTTTAATAATCCCTAAATTCCGATAGAATCAGGTACTGAATATGACGAAGCCACAGATCTGTTTACATAGAGCTAAAAGTGAAAAGGAATTTAGAACAGAAAAAATGGAATGTTATAAATCCTGTTTTTGATTATATGTTTTTTTTTTGCTTACGCAAGATCGAGAACAGTCTGTACAAGGAATTTCTTAAACTCTTTGTTCTTAGTTTGAAATGTCATCTTTGATGGACCGGACTAGAGTTAAAAGTTTTTGTTGGAGGGCTAAATATTGTCGATTTTGTCAGTGATATATTTGATGTAATAACGAAGAAAAGCTTTCGTATGATCAGGGACTGAGTCTTTGGGTTAAAATTGAGTGGAAAAATAAAGCCTACGCTTATGTAGACCGGAGATTTCTCATAATTTTAAGACAATTTTACTCAATTTACCCAATTTTCCCAGACCAAAAATGCTTTCTAAGGGAGCTAGAACTCTGGCACGAATATTTATTCTTTAAAGTTGAATCGATTCCATAAATCGCCAATTTCTAGTATCGGTCTTAGTCGTCCATTTTGAAACATAGGGTCAAGACAGGGATAGTTTTATCAAGTGAAAGTAAAGGTAGAGAGTGATAACCGGATTAGATATGCTGACTATACTGTGCTGTTGTCAAGAACATCGGAAATATTCCATTTGTTACTCGAATAGAGAATATGAATAGAGAATAAAACAAAAAAAAAATAAAATTCAGATATGGGTAAGGAATTAACAAACACACTTTATTATTGATGCAATGGTATAAATTCCCTACTCATTCCTCGAGTCGTTGTCAGTGCGTGGTGACGCTCTAATTAATTCTAACTTGCTGTCTCCATTGGCTGCGATCCTGTGCTATATGGATAATTTCATGTAGGGATTTTCCCATTAGAGTATTCATTTGGTCTGTCCACCAAATTGGAGATCTTCCTCTTGGTCTTCGGTTTTCTACCTTTTCTTCCACTACCACTAGTTCCATGGTCTCCGTTCTTCTAACTTAGTGGTCTAAGACTTTGATCTTTCTCCTATCGATTTGATTGAGAGTACATGTTTCAGCTTCGTATGTAGCGATGGGAATAATAAGGACATTAAGCAACCTAAGCTTAGTATTCTTGTTATTGTTTATCCTTGTATTTTAATCAATTTAGCTGTTGCGGTTCGGGCCACTGCTGTTCTATGCTTGATTTCTGATGAGCAATCGCCATTGTTGGTTATCAGGGAGCCCAAGTCAATGAATTATATTGTAATATGTATACACTGTAATTGATACGACAATGATATAAACTACACTGTAATTAATTTTGCTGCTAAATAAAAATACTTGACTCCATTTTATCATTATTTACCACTCGAAATTCAAGGTCAATTTATGAACAACTTTTAGCGATATAAAAGAGTGTAGAGCATTTCTACAATTTTACTTATTGTGAAATATTTTATTTGCAAAAAGATAAAATTTTTTAACTGAAGTACCAACAACAAAGTCATGTTCAATATAAATATTTTTATCCTACTGTGTTCGTTACCCAGTGCTTTTAGTTACAATATTTTGGGAATATTTCCAGTGCATATAAAAAGCCACATGATAATTTTTTCGGCCCTTATGGATGAATTGGTTAATCGAGGTCATAATGTTACAATTATTGGTACATTTCCAGAGAAGGAGTCTCATCCGAATTTAACAAATGTTGACATTAGTCAGTTTATACCGGATCTTGTAGAAGCTATTCCAATGGATGGTCTGGCAACAAACAGCAGGGTAACCAAATATCTTGAGCCTAAGTTAATATTTGATTTAACAGACGCTGCATGTTTGGGACTTTCTTCAAAAAGTTTGCACCATTTCCTCTTCAGTAATCCAGTAGTGGACGTCATTATAATAGAAGATTTTAATACACACTGCTATTTTGGTATAATTCACAAACTTGGAGCTCCAGTTATAGCTATTACAACAGCTTTACCAGCACCGTGGACCAACATTAAATATGGTATTCCGAACAATCCAGCTCTAGTACCTAACCCTTTTCTCTCATTTACAGACAAAATGAATTTTCTGCAACGAGTCGAAAACACAGTGGTAACTTTTATGCACTTTCTTTTGTTTAAATTAACAAGAAATTTAAAAGATAAAGGTGTAGCAGAAAAATATATGGGGGTAACACCCGCACAACTAGAATTGTTAAGTGTAAACTCTTCACTATTTTTTACTAACTCCCATTTTAGTTTAAGCTACGCAAAAACTTTACCTCCAAATGTTATAGAAGTTGGAGGTTTGCATATTAAAAAGCCAAACGTATTACCTGAGGTAAGTAGAAACATCCTTTAAAATTATATTAAGGTCAAGCGTAAGATCGTAAATATCCTTCAAAGTTGTTTTGATCTTTTGACATTTAGATTGAAAATTGTCAAAATAAATTTGGGGAAAACATATATCTATATTAGATTACATTAGAAACAATTAAATCAGTTTTATCTAATCTGTCCTATAGTATTCTAATTACTTTTTAAAGAATAAGCAACATGGCGTTAAAGCGCAAATTTCACCTACATATTTTCGTTCTAAAACCAAGTAGTTATAGTGAAATATAAATTTGTAAATGGCAATCCAAAGATTTAAAGTCTTACCAGACTGCAGTTACCAACAACTTGCAAAAAAACAATGTACGAATGTATGTGCTAAATGTAAGAAGAAATACAGACAATCTCAAAACGAGGGCAACTGTTAACGTTTGTTTATAAAATCACTCTGAATACCTACACAAAAACTGTTCAGGATTAGTATGTATTCTGTATCATAACTAATTGCGGTGTTGCCGACATGGTCAGATTTTCCTCGGCATTTAGATGTTAACGAATAAAGCAATATTTAGTAGATAATCTGTAAAACGGATAAGCACTGGTCTCTGACCAGCTTATGAGGACAAAATACTTACAAATGTTTTAAGAAAAGAAACAATGTCGGACTGCGATGATAACCTCGTGGGCGAAAGAAAGATAAAAACAACAGACACACTTTCTTCTTTCAAACAGTCTAAAAGAGTACAAACAACACCAAATAAATACAAAATGGAATCTCAGTATAGAAACAAGCAGAAAACACGAATATTCTGCTAAAACAACTGTTAAAAGAAATTAAGCAAACATCTATTAACGATACAGAAAGTAACTAGAAGATGCAAAACATGAAATAATTGAACATTAAGTCAAAAATACCTAAACATTATCACACTGAAAACTTTGTTTTTAAACTTCCACAAAATTTATTTTAAACTCCTATTACTATAGCTGTTTCGGCTGATTGCCTTACTCAAGTGATGTATTTTTGGCATGAGATCACTTGAGAAAACAGCTGTAGTGATAAGAGTTTAAAATAAATTTTGTTTAAAGTTTAAAAATAAAATTTTCAGTATTTGATTGTTACATAAAACCAATTTTCATCAAGTAACGGTCGAATCCATCAATTAAACAATATTAAATAAAACTTTATTTTTATTTTAACCCTTTGCGGACCGAATTAAGTATTAAACAAAAAACTGCAAAGTTATTACAAGTTAGGGATACAGTGATACAAAAGATAACGTCAAGTGTCAATTAAATTTTTTTTATATAAGGGGTGGTTTAGTTTGGAGGTGGTTGCATGGTGGAACCACTGGTACTGATTAGTACTATCTCAATTTTTATAAAATGATAATAAATATTCATAAAGGAGGTAAGTTCACTTTATTTTTTATGATATTCTAAAAAACAATTGATTTTTTCAGATAAACATAGTCCCACCTTACATACAGTGCAATGCCACCTCGTTCGATGAGGTTGGTTTCTTGTACTGCATCGAGCACACATTACTTTGGTTCCATGTATTGGCATATGCTCTGACTTGTTGGTGCGTATTTCAATAGGAACGCAGATTTTAAATTTATTTATCTCAGAACCGCACGATTTTCTTCCTTTCTGAGTAAGCGAAGGAGTACCCATAAGTCCTGCAGAAACTGCTAACCGAAATTCTTTTAGAGAAAGTGTTGATGCACTAGCAGATCGTTCTTTAAAAATATTGAAGCCATTAACAACCGTTAAGTCAACAAAATGCCAGAATATCAGATAAGTCAACATCACTTATCTTCCATTGAGTGTCCCCCCTTTCCATGGTTTTGTCCTCTAGAAAATTACATTCTGACAAATATTAAGTATTAGCTTTTACTCTTCCACATCCATGTATATACTTGGATCTAAGTTGTTCCAAAAGATCATACGAAGTAAAATAATTGTCCATAAATATTTTATGGAATTTTCCAGCAAGACTGCTTGTAAGGTCTGTTACAACCCGTGCACCTAAGCCTTTTTCAGGTAAGTTGTTAACTTTACCAGTGTAGATTTGAAATTCTGAAACAAAACCAGATTCATTAGCACGAATCCAAACTTTGTAGCCCCGTTTTACAAGCTTCTTGGGCATATACTGGCGTAAAATGCTTCTACCTTTGAATCTAATCATTGACTTATCTACAGACTGGCATTCACTTGGCTTATAATATTGAATGAAACTGTCAGATAACCTATCGAGCATTGGTCGCACTTTATACAATTTGTCGTAGCCAACTTCACCTTTTTTCGGTTCAAGACTGTTATCATTTAAATGAATATGTCCCAGTAACCAACTGAATCGATTGCGAGACATATAAGATGCAATAAAACCATCACGTAGATCTGTCCTTGAAGACCAGTAATCCTTGTAGCTTGGTAAATGCTTTATTCCCATCAGAATGTTTATCCCCAGGAAACACTTCATTTCTTCGCGATTAGTGGGAGTAAATTTGTTAGCATTTCCCTGATTCATTTGGGTTGCATAGAGATTTGTTTGAAATACTAATATATCTAACAGCTCCTCTGAAAATAACAACATGAACAACTCCAACGGATCTTCAAGTAAATCCAGTATGTCAGGACCCACTTTTTCAACAAAAGATGAAGGTGTCTTGTAATAAGTTTGAATATTTTCTGACCATTTGACAATCTAATTTTTCTTTGCATGTACATTATTATTTTTTTTTCCTTCCAGTTTGTTTTTGTTTTGTAAGCTTTCTTTTCCTTTTCACAAAAACAGATAGCGGCGTACAATCATCCGAATCACTGAAAACACTTTCGTTATTTTCTTTTTCATGTTCATCTTCGTCAACCATTTGATTCATTTCTTCCAATGAATGTTGAGTGCCCGGGATGCCGTTATCTGGTTCACTATTTCCAAGATCCTCAACATCAGAATCAATATCTGACGCTTCTGACTCTCCGTCAGATGGTATTTCCTCAATCAAAGCAAATACACCATCATTACCCATAGCTTCTGAATTATTTATTGTCCATTGTTTTCTTTCTGTAATAAAAATGAAAAAAATGTTCAGGAACTGTAGTCTTTCAAATTCTGTATCAATATATTACCCCTTCCCAACCTTTAGTCCTACAAGCCATCCTGCAAGGAAAAATATTTGGAAGGCGAGGTCCAGGAAGAAGAAGAACATCCTGGTTAAAGAACCTCAGAACTTGGTTCAACACAACATATGTACAGCTTTTCCGCGCTGCTGTAGATAAAATAAATATTGCCATGATGATCGCCAACATTCGTCACGGATAGGCACATCAAAAAGAAGAAGAACCTTTAGTTCAATTTTTAGACAGCCACGGTACACAAAGTATTTAGACCTTCTGCCTTCGTTGTCTGTCCTAAAATAAAAAACAACAACAAAAAATAATAAAAAGTACTTGTGGGTCCATACGGAACCACACCTTTTAGACGACTTGAAAATATAAAATATACAAAAATATCAAAATAAATTGTATACGATCTCTTTAATAACCATTAAAATTACCTAATTTAGCTGTTCTTACCTGCCATTATCAATTTGTTTACGTTCAGTAGAAATTTTAGTAGTTGGCGCGCAAAATAGCGAAAAACGTGTCACATCAATCACCTACTAGAACACACTAAAGCGCTCCAAAACCTGATCGTATGCATGGCCGATAGTGTAAGAGAGGGGATTAAAGAATTTGTCTATGGTTCCGGCCGACGCTTACCGGGACAGTAGGATAAAAATTCTTGAAATTGTGGTTCCACTATGGGACCACTGGCCCACAAGAATACAGTAGTACAAAAACGCGGCCAAAAGAAATAATACCTTAAAATAAGTAAGTAATAATAAGTCTAAAAGTGAAGAGCAATGAAGAAAAGACACGGAAACATGACATGGGAACTTTATTAAACAACATCTACAGAAAGAAGTATGAACTAAAATAATTATTGAGAAGAATAAGGAGAAAAAATGTGCCAATAAAATTAAAAATAAAAAAGAAAAAACAGAGTAATAAGAAAGAAAAATAAACAAGGATTTATTAAAGAAGAACACGTATTTATCAATATTGATATGACTTTTGAAGAGAAAAAAATCAAGAACAACATTGTAACCAAATATTTTGCCTACCACATACGGTCTTGCTATAAGGAACTGAAAATTGGGACAAAAGTTATTGGGGATGAAGATAGGGCAAGCAAAATAAACGATACTTATGCGAACGTTACTCAAGGTTTATCTGGAGTAGCTGGGTCGTGGATAAGTTGAATGGCAAGGGGGTTGGATTGGAGCAACCACAAAAAAATGAAACAAAGGGGTACTTACATAAATCTTCTGGGCAAACAAAACACAAGAAAGACCTCTTCTTTTTTAAAGAAAAATAATTGTTTTTGATTTTTGAAGAATTTAAAAAAAATTGAAAATACATCAATTCTATGTATGTATTAGATTATGTTACATTGAGATTAAGTCGTTAAATCAACTTAAACTATTTCTAGATATTACAAATAATAATATCAATATTTATACCACACACAAAATTAACAGTCAGATAAACTCTACTACGTAGTTTAACCATAAGTGCAACCTCCTTTGGCGATTGTTTCGTTGAGAAAAAGTGTTTGGTTAGTAACTATAATTAAAGCTAAATAAAAACTGTTTGTTCATGCCTATCGAACCAAATAAATAATAAATTCTTAGGTTACTGACCGGTCGTCTATATTATCTGTGTTATATTAGAATTATAGGGACATAATATAATGTATATCGAATAACTTTTATTTTATATCAGCACAATAATTATTATATTAAAGTATATTCATGATAAGTATTTTATTATAGTTCTTTTATAGCAAACTTATTATAACAAAACGATTACCTCAAATGAAGTAAGAGTATTTTTGATTTACATAGGTATTTTTTTTACAAATGCCAACAAAAAAAAAAACAAGATTTATAAAACGTTTCT